CGGCCCGCTCTGGATATCCATAACATTAGTGTTCGCGACAGCCATTTGTGGCAATATTGCTAATTATGTCAAAGACATGGCAACTATGAGTCCCAACATCACGAACACGGACTGGCACTACGACTACACCAAAGTAGGCATTCATTGGCACACTATTTGATTGATTCAATTGTAAATGAACTAAAATATGTTTGTTTTTTTTGATGCACAGGTAGGTCTGGCGGCGTCCACGATATTCACCTACGTTTTGGCGGTACCGGTGTGTCTGTGGTTCCTGTTTTGGTTCAGGGGCTGTACGGCTAACTATTCACTGTTAGAGACGATCTGTGTTTACGGTTACTCTCTGTCAATATATGTCCCGATTTCCATACTTTGGGTCATTAATATCCGGTCCTTTCAACTGATTCTGTTGTCAATCGGAGCCATACTGTCCGGCAGTGTACTGGTGCTGGTGTTCGCGCCGGTCGTTCACAGCGATCCCTCCAAGACTATTAAGACATCGTATCTGATATTAATTATAATAATATTAATGCACGCATTCCTGGCCTTTGCTTTTCTTGAATACTTTTTCTAACACTTATTAAATGATATCATTTCGATATAATTGAATTAAACATTCGTATAATCAATATGTGATCATTTGTAAGACATTTTGCTTTCAAATATTTATTAAATGTATTTTTTGTTATTTATTTAAGGAATATTAAAGTAATTTATAATAAAATTAATGATTTCTAAAATATATTTATTTTTTTCATTCAATTTGAGTGTAAGGAATGTAAATAATCCAAAATATACTACCCGTACTCAATGAATCTCAATTGAATTGCTTCTCATACTTGTACAGACGTAATAGTATTACTGTATATAAAATTATGGTAGATTTAATGATATAAATTATTTTATTACACAATACTGTATCAGTAGTATGTCTACAATTAGGTTATCACTAAAAGGAATTCAATAAACAATTAAGTAGTCATTCTTTGCGAGTTATAACATGTTTGTGACAGAGTTTCTATATTAAGCTAACTTCTGTCCACTTTATTGTTATTATTAGTTTATAATAATAATTAGTTTATATTCTTGCATAACTCAATAAGAACTATCAAATTCTTTCATCAAATTTGAATTATAGAAGTTTATACTATAAACTTTATTGTCAGTTATGTAAGTTAACTAAAATTACATACAATATTTGGAAAATTTCAGTATCTATTTCACCGAAATAATTTTAACACAAAATATAATAGTTAATAAGTTAGTTACCATAAAACTTAGCCCTTTTAAATGACGAGTGTTTATAATCTTTGATTAACTTTTAATTATCTATGGATCTGCTAACATGAACACTAGTTTTATGAGCATTACATGCATATCGAAAATGGTTCACTAAATGATTGTGTTGAAAATCTATAATGAAAGCTACAATTTTATTGAAGTTTTTAAATTATAAGTTATTTGTACTTGTTAATCTTTACTCTTTTGAAGTGAACTGTAATGAAGAATAGGCGCTCTGTTACCTCCCATTCCATACCATATGCCATATTCTGTACACTCAAAGTTGTCCCATAAGTGATATATTAAGTGCGGGACAGAGGTCTTAGTGTGAAGGGTGGGGGACAACGGATTTAAGACTTATCACAAACTAATGAGTTCTCACTTTTTGAACTCAAATAATGTTTACCCGAATGTCAAACATATTATTTCTAATATTAACCAAAAGTACATATTTTTGCAAAATTCTCTAAACTATAGGCGTTTTAGAAGTAGACGTTAGAAACATGACATGATCTTTATTTTCTAACCAGAGTCAAATTGGTTTTTTACTTTTTTTTATAAATGAGTTACCCTCCCAGTGCTTAGCTATGGTTAAGT